TACTACTATTGCTATATTACTGCTGCTGCGACTATCTTTACTACTACTTCGACTACTACAACTACTACTTACTACCACTACTACTACTAACTATTACTACTATTGTTACTAGAACTACCGGGGGACTTCCACTACCACTACCAACACCACACTACAACTACTATACTATTACTATACCTATCTACTACTACTCTATTACTACTCTTTCTCTACTACTTTCTACTACAACTACTTACTACTACTCCTAATCTCTCGTCAACTACTACTGCTACTACTGCTAACTACTACTACAACTACTACTACTACTACTACTACTACTACTACTACTACTACTACTACTACTACTACTTCTACTACTACTACTACTACTACTACTACTACTACTACTACTACTACTACTACTACTACTACTACTACTACTACTACTACTACTACTACTACTACTACTACTACTACTACTACTACTACTACTACTACTACTACTACTACTACTACTACTACTACTACTACTACTACTACTACTACTACTACTACTACTACTACTACTACTACCATTATTACTACTACTATTACTGATACGGCTACTACCACTACTACGACTACTTTCAGTACCACGAATACGACCATTACCGCGACGACTGCCGTTGATAGCACCATTATACTATTATTGCCGCCCTGCGCTTAGCATTGCGCTTGATGACATCGCGCATCGCATCGCATCGCATTGCATTGCACATATCGGCTCAACACAAAAATATGTGTTTGTTTTCAGCAGGCGGCGCACCCCACGATGTGCAGATCGTCGGTAACTTTACCATAGAAAAAACGTTCTCGTGGTGGACGAAGTCAATCTCGAAAACACCGAACGTCAACCACCCGACAAGCCGAACCGTCGGAGGTTCAGGACGGAACAACAATGCCAGGCACTACGGGGAACCCAGGAAACACCAGCAACAACAACGCCATCACAACAGCAACATCTGTAGCCACAACAACGAAATCACCAGCCAAATTTTCACTTTCACTTTGAACGAGCTATTTGCTAAAAGGAAACGAGCCTTTTTAGTACAGTGCTGTTGCTCTGTTGCGTGGCAACCGCGGCGGCGCGTCCGAATTGCCGAGCCACGTCGTGCGCTCGCGCCCTGAATCTCCTGTCAAGGAGCATCTACAACTCGCTGAAAACATGTCCAAGGATCGCCGCGACCCGATGCAACGCGATCCTGGCTACTCGAACGAATGCATCGCGGGGTGAACTGGCAAGGAAGACAGGAGCCCCCGCCCCCCGACCAGGCCCTGGCCCCGCACCCCCAGGGCAGTACTAAGGCAGACCGCGGCCTTTACTAACGCGAAGAACCGGCTTTACTAAAGCGAAGAAACGGTTTTACCAAAGCGAGGAAACGGCTTTACTAAAAAGGAAAAACGGCGTTATCAAAGGCGCGCTGGGCAATACACTCCGAAAAAAAAACGACGTTTTACTAAAGCAACAGGAGAGCTTTAGTAAAGCGGAGAGACGAACAGGGGTAAACCTGCGCGCTGAAATTTCGCGCTCCCACTCTTAAATCTCTCGTGGGACTCCAAGAACGAGGGCGGGGCGCGTCGCCGCGACGTTCGTCGTCGCCGCCGTCGCCGTTGCCGCCGTCGTCATCACCGTCGGCGCCGACGCCGCCGTCGTCGTCGCCGTCGTCGTCGCTGCGACGCCCGCGCATTCACGTTATTGCCAGCGGCGGGTCGCGCGTGGCCGCGCGCGCCATTGCTCCGCTCGCATGTCCGCTCCTCTGACGGGGGGCCCAGGCGGACATCCACCCACATTTTTCTACAGTAGTAGTGGGGGAATTTTGCCTCTGAGTTCAAATGGACCCAAAAAGGGTTCTGAAAGGATCGCAATCTTACCCCTGTGTTTTCAGTATGGCGCCCTCAGCTGAACAACCCAATGTGGCTCCACAGCGACCCCAATGCGAACCTCCCGCCCCAACAAAACACCGAAATGAACCATGGTCGTCCGACCGAACTAAGGTTACCGCGTGACCCCGGTTTGACTTCGAGGTGGCCCTGGAACGACCCGGTGAACCTGAAACGACCTCGATGTTGCCACTTATTGAATCCCAGCTGATCCCGGGATTGCCCACGTATGGCTCCAATGTGACTCCGATGCGGTTCTCCCTTCTGCCCTTGCTGCTGGCTTGGGCCGATAGGACGCGTGGGGCGGCTGGCGTCCCGCCCCCTCGTCGTCGTCCTCTTCCTCCTCCCCTCGTTCTCGTCGCCCTCTTCGCCGTCGTCGTCTTCGTCGTCGCTTCCGTCTGGCTGTCTGGGCCCCGCGCGTAGCTGAACACCGAATCCACAACGTAACCCGAATCCGTAGTCCCACCAGCCCTTTGGGCGTGAGTGGTTTAGAGAGCCCGCTCTGTCCTCAACCCCCTTCTTCCCCTTCGGGGAGGGGTTTACCCCTCCCCCTACCCCCTCCCCCTGGGCCTGGAGAGGACGGGCCGCGGGTCGTCAGGGGAGTCTTTTTCGACTCCTGGGAGGGCTAAAAAACGACGACCCTCACGAGGATTCCGGCCCCGAGGGGGGGGGGACCGTTTGGCGCCTCCGCTCTTCTTTGAAGCCAAAATCATTGATTTTACTATGGTTTTGGGCCCATTTTTGGGCTTCTGAGGGGGCAGCGCTCATCGTCCTTCATAGCAAAACCGTTGATTTTACAAAAGTTTTGGGCTCATTTTGTCCTTCTCAGGGGGCAGCGCTCATTTGCGCTTCTGAGGAGGTCGCAAGAGGCCCCAAGATGGCCCCAAGAGGCCCCCAGGAGGCTCCCAAGAGGCCTCCAAGAGGCCCCCAAGAGGCCCCCAAGAGGCCCCAAGAGGCCCCCAAGAGGCCCCCAAGAGGCCCCCAAGAAAGAGGCCCCAAGAGGCCCCCAAGAGGCCCCCAAGAGGCCCCCAAGAGGCCCCCAAGAGGCCCCCAAGAGGCCCCAAGAGGCTCCAAGAGGCCCCCAAGAGGCCCCACGAGGAGCCCGAACGACTCACACCAGGACGAGGGGCCCGAACGACTCACACCACGAAGAGCCCGAACGACTCACACCACAAGGAGGGGCCCGAACGACTCACACCAGGACGAGGCGCCCGAACGACTCACACCACGAGGAGCCCGAACGACTCACACCACGACGCGGGCCCCGAACGACTCACACCACGAGGAGCCCGAACGAGTCACACCAGGAGGAGGGGCCCGAACGACTCACACCAGGACGAGGGGCCCGAACAACTCACACCACGAGAAGCCCGAACGACTCACACCAGGACGAAGAGCCCGAACGACTCACACCACGAAGAGCCCGAACGACTCACACCAGGAAGAAGGGCCCGAACGACTCACACCAGGACGAGAAACCCCAAACGACTCAAACCACGAGGAGCGCTTTCTCTCCCTCCTCCTCCGCCTCGTCCTTCTCCCGCTCCCCCCACAAGGAGGATGTACAAGGAGGCGGGAGGAAGCAGGAACAGGGGAGATATGCGGGGCCAAGCGGACACACGCCTGAAAAACACGACTGTCGGCATGCTTCGCAAGAGTTGCTGCTGTGAGATGGGCTGGTGGGGATACGCGAAGCGTAAATAATTTCTCAGACGTGACCGAACCCATGGTGGGTGGGATATGCGATAGTAGAGGCAGCCGTTGATGTCGCGGACGAGGTTCCTCGCGCGCGTGCATGCCTTGATGTTGAAGATGTTCATCTCGAGCTGGTAGGAGTCGGAGTAGAAGGGGCGGCAATTGGTGACGCGGTCGAGGTTCCTCGCGCGCGTAGGACCCTGATCGGCGTAGACGGAGTCACAATGGTAGCGTAATACTTGGTGATAGGGATGTGGACGCCGTAAAAGGCGCCCGCGTAGCTCGTCACACTGGCGTTGTACGAATCGCCTCCAGCACGTAGACGCGAACGACCAATGTTCTGGCGGTCTTGGAAGACTGGCGGGTAGAGGGCGAATGCGAGCAGAGCTGCCGCAGGTGAAACAGCTCCGCTACCAAGTGAAAGCGGGGTGGGTTGCGATGTCGGTGGCGGTATGGAAAGGGGAAGCGGCTTTTCTCCTCCTGCACCGCCTCACATAGGATACCATGCAGGTGTCGAACAAATCGAGCGGCGACGCCTTGAGACATTGCGGCGGCAGGGCAATCGATGCACGCGCATAGCGGCCACATAGGCGCTTCCAAAAAGGCAGGGGGCGGCGGTGATTCGCCGTAGGCGTCTTCGATCCGCCGCCCCCTGTCGATTCATCGCCGGGGTGCCTGGCGTGCTAGACCCTTTTGGTCTTGGTTTTGGTTCTTTTTCTAAAATAACTCCCCATGGGGTTTCGGCCCGTCCCGCCGGCCACCCGAAAGGTTGCCGAAAATGCCTGGGTGGTTCCCCGTGTCGCGTCCAAGAAAGCCAAGATTGCCCAAGATGGCCTCCAAGATGCGTCTCCAAGACGACCCGAGATGGCCCCAAGACAGCCCCAGATGGCTTCATGACTGCCCAGAGAGGCTTTCAAGACGGCTCCAAGAGAATTCGCAGCAAGGCCTGGAGATGCCAAAATCTCTGATTTCCCGAAGGTGCCGCCGGCTCAAGATGGCCCAAGAGGCCTCCAAGCTGGCATTACCACGACCCAAGACGGCTTCAAGATAGCCCAAGAGGCCTCCGAGACGGACTCAAGGCTGCCCGAGAGACCCCTGAAGGCCCAGGACGAACCCAAGAGAACCTCAAGGTGGCCCAAGACGGCCTAATCTGATCCCTGGACGGCGCAAGACGGCCTCACGACGGCCCCGAGAGATCTCCCAGACGGGCCACGAGGGACCCAAGAGAGCCACAAGACGGCCTCCGAACGAAAAGCAGGTTGGACACCCCACACTGGCGCGCGGAACGCCCCAGGGGAGGCGCCGGAGGCGCCGCCACGGGGACCCACCGCGGATCCAAGAAATATGCGCGGACCTGCGAAGGTTCATGTGTATGCAGTTTTTTGTTTTGAAAATAGTACTTCGATTGCAAAAGCGACTTCCCACTCAGAGAGAAGGCCCTGTATGCGGGAGGGCGCTCAAGCCCGGAGACGGCCCCTAAGGAGTGGTACCCCGTGGGCGTCTTATGGCACTATGCCCTCTACGCAGCCCTCGCACGAGGTCCGAGAAAAGGAGGAATGCGAGGCGAGCCCGAACGCTCGCTGATGCTCCTTCAGCCCCCTCGTCACAGCTCCACCCGGGGCTCCTCAAACGCACCCATGCGCCACTCGAACATGACCACGTCGGGGCCCCACTCCTGGCAGCGAATGCAGGCGGTGATGAGGAAACGCAAAATACGAGCAACCCAAGACACCCAAAAGAACAAGAGAGCAAGACATCGGGCAACGATGCGTCTCGCGGCACGAGCGCATGAAGCCAGGGGAATGGGTAGACAGGACTGGAGATGGAGGGGGAGGAGATGAGGATGAGGAGAGGTTCAGACATGAAGGAGAAGGGAAATCGGCGAGGCGAGGCGAGGCGAGGCGCCGGTCAGTCGTCCCGGCGGGGACGGCCCTACGAGAGCCCGGCGGTGGCGCCGGAGCGCCGAGAAAGAACCTTAGTCGAGGGGGAAGGGGGGAGGAAGGACTCAGACCGTGAAGTGGGAACTTTGCACACAATTCCCACGATTGACATAGGCCGAAAATTTCGGCTCCAATGCCGACCATGCTTTCTTGTCCGTCGCAATGTGTATCCACCTTTTGTGGTCGTCGTCTCCCTCGTGTGTAGTGACTGTGCGTACGACTTTTGTGATTTCGGCATCAACTCTTTTCCGTTGTCCTCCGTGGCGTCGCAGGCTTTGGCGTGGGTCGTGGGTGTTCGGGGCCCATTGAAGTGAGAGCCGCGTCCATCTGTCGTAGTCGTGGGTTGCGACGCGGGATGCCCGCCGCCACTTCCGTGTGAAGTATACCGTAGGCCAGTCCTCTACGCCTGCGCGCCGAACATGCTCTAGGGCTGCGTGCGTCGATCGTCGTATGAATTCTTCCCATGGTTCCAACCCGTCGTCTTCTTCTGTCGTCGGCTCTGTCGTGGTGGATGGGGGAGTCTGCTGCGTCGGCGCTGGTCGCTTCGTTGGTGTCAGTGCCGCGAATGTGGTTTTGTGCGACGCCTTGCGATCCCGATGGCAAGCCTGAGCATCCTCCCGTGTGCACGCCGTAAAGTGAGAAGCATGTCGCTGGTGAGGGTCCAAGAGGAGCACTCGTACATCACTGATGCTGTGATTGTTCCGTTGAACAGCCTCAGTCGACTTTGGGGTGGGAAGCGCTTGTGTGTCAGCTCGTATCTTAATTGGTTGAAGCGACCCCATCCTGCGGCAATCCTGCTGCGTAGCTTCATGCTTGGACGGAACACAATATTTCGATGCGTTCGCCGTTGATGCCGACATGAGAAATTATTCTCCCCTCTCTCCGGCGGACGTTCGTCAGGATCTTGGTCCTGTCCGGGTGCAGTGCCGCACCGCATGCCTTGGCCTGGGACTGTACGTCTCGGAGCGAGCAGGAAAGTTGTCGTAAGTTGGGGGCGTAGAGCAAGACATCGTCGGCGAAACGTAGATTTCTGATTCGTGCTAGCGGTGCGAAGCCTAGTTGGATCCCGAAGTTCACGCGCTGCCACTCAGGTTTCACTTGTCTGAACACCTGCTCGAGGACAGCATTGAACAAGAAAGAGCTCAGTGGGTCTCCCTGTTTCACGCCACGCTCGATACTGAAAGCCCTGCTGGTGGTGTCTGTCCCGACTGTTGCCGTCTGGGTGCAGTACAACTGTTTGAAGAAGTTTATGTATGCAGGAGGTATGTGCTTTTGTCGCAAAGCTTCCCGTCATTGCTCGTGGTCTACACAGTCGAACGCCTACTTAAAGTCGATTGCTGCTGCCCACAGCGGTAGCTGCCACTCGTAGGAACCCTCATCTAGCATGGCATTGGTGAACTGCGTGCAATAATCCTTCCGGAAACCTGCTTGGTCAAGGCACTGTTGCGAGTCGAACAGAGAGTTCAGACGGTTGCAAAGGAGGCGAGACATCAATCTGTAGAGCAATGGGATAATGGCAATCGGTCTGTAATTGCCTGGGAATTGTGGGTCTCCTGATTTGTAAAATACGGTGATTGTGGTGGTCTTCCACTGGTCCGGTGCTGTCTGATTAGGTGTGATGATGTCGTTGTAGAGTCGGAGTAGGTGGTATTGTATGGTAGCGCCCCCAGCTTTGAGCATTTCTGCTGTGAGCCCCGCGGTGTCTTTGCACTTGTCGTTCTTGAGTTGTTTGATTGTTTGCTGGAGTTCGGTTGCGGTGAAAGGTGGGATGGTTGAGTCGTGCTGAGTTGTCGTTGGGGTGTCGCGGAAGCTGTCTGAACGGTACAGATTCTTGTATAGCTCCTCGTAGAAGGTTGCGAATACGTCTGCTATGCTTTGCCTGTGTGTCTCCTCAGTGCCATCAGGTGTCTTCATTGATGCAATTAGCTCTTTGTGCTTGGTGGTCTTAATGGGAATCGGGCAGGGTACAAAGGCGACATGACTCAGGGGAATCGGGCAGGGTTACACATGTGAGGAGAAGGTGGGAGACAAAGGGTGCGGGGAATGGAGAGAGGAGACGAGGCGGGGCGGGTAAGTGGGAGAGGGAGGCAGGCACGAATGAGAAGCCTCGAGGCACACCGCTCCGAGGCTGCGGCCACGGAGGAAGCGTCTGTAGAAGAAGAACATACTGCATAAACACAGGCGTTCGGAGGTCCACGCGGATTTCTTGGATCGTCGGCGGGACCCCTTGGCGGCGCCTCTGGCGCTGCCCCCGGCGCGCTCCGCGCGCCAGGGAAGGGGGTCCAGCGTGGACCCAGAGAAACCCGCGCGGACCTCCTAAAGCTCTCGCCTGCGCCGCCTCTTGTTCTTCGAACCTGGGCTCGAAGACTGGCAGCCGGCGGTAGACCGTGAACCTGGCTACCGCCCGGGACCTCGTGGAGCTCTCTGACGTGCTCCTGGCACTAGGGAAACAACGCAACATGCCACACAGAAACTCCTGAGACCCGCGCGCGCCTCCAAAGATGCGCGCACCCGTGCCGCTTCTTGCTCCTCGAGCCTGGACTCCGAGACCTCGCGCCGGGCCGAGGCGCGGCGCTCCTGCGGCGAGTGCAGGACCGAGTCGCGAATGACCATGAGCACCGCGTAGAGGAGCACCTGCGGAGGGCGTTGGACACGGAGGAGAGCCCGCCGAGGCCACGGCGGCGCTTCCGCCCGGCCCAGGTCCGTTCAACATCGCTCCACGGACCTCTTCTCTCTCTCTCTCTCGTGCTCCATCCTCTTCCCTCCCCCTTTTCCCTTCCGTCCATCTGTCCTCTATTCCCCTGCCTTGCGGGCTGCACGAAATGCACGTTGCAGGTGAGAAAGATATACTCCCAAGGGGGTACGATCGAAGACGAGGGGGCGGGTATCGAGGGTTTGGGATATAAGTGTTGAATGGCACGCGAGCAGATAGGAAAAAACAGTCTTCAACTACTGTTGTTGTTGTTGTTGTTGCTGTTGTTGCTGTTGCTGTTACGGTTACTGTTGCTGCTGCCATTGTTGTTGTTGCTGCTGCTGTTGCTGATGTTGGTCATTCAAGCTAGATAATATTTATTGTTGATCTCTGGAAACGGTTCCGCGCGCTCTCGCCTCGACGCCAACTGCAATTCCTTCGAAAACGAAGATCCCGCCCGAGTGCGGGCTTGATTGTAAATGTGTGCCCTTGGAGGCCCGGCTACGACGACAACGGCTCCCGCTCGATATTTCCTCACAATTTACCCCGAGACACCCTGGCCAGAGAGGCTCCCGAACTCTGGAACGGCGCTCGCGCTCAAGTTTTTCTCGCAATTCAATCAAGTTGGCGGAGGCCCAGCCACGACGACAAGAACTCCTGCTCGACACTTCCTCACGATGTACTTCGAGAGGCCCTGGCTAGAGAGCCCCCCGAACTCAGGAACGGCGCTCTCGCTCAAGACTTCCTCGCAATTCAATCGAATTTGCAGAGGCCCAGCCACGAACGCAAGGGCTCCTGTTCGATACTTCCTCACGATTTAATCCGAGAGGCCCTAGCCAGAGAGGCCCCCGAACTCAGAAACGGCGCTCTCGCTGGAAACTACATCGTACTTCAATCGAGTTGGAGGCCTAGCCACGATGACACGGGCTCCCGCTCGATGCTTCCTCACGTTTTACTCCGAGATGCCCTGGCTATAGAGATGCCTCACGCGCTCTCGCTGGATTTCGTCGCACTTCAGTCAGTGGAGGGCAAGGAAGAGATTCCTTCCCAAAGGGGGTTGTCATCGAAGACGAAGTGGGCGGGAATGGAGGGTTGGAGTTTACAAAATGAAGGACACGCGGGCAAGTAAGAGCGATCAATATTAACCTGATGTTTGTTGCTGTTGTTGCGTTTGTTGTTGCTGCTGGTGATACTGTTGCTGTTGCTGTTGTTGTTGCGGTTGTTGTTGCGGTTGTTGTACTGTTGCTGTTGTTGTTGCTGTTGTTGTTGTTGTTGTTGTTGTTGTTGTTACTGTTATTGCTGTTGCTGTTGCTGTCGCTACTGTTGTTGTTGTTGTTGTTGTTGTTGTTGTCGCTGTCGCTGTCGCTGTCGCTGTCGTTATCGTCGTCCTCGCCTCGCCCGCGACCCCCCCAATACCCCCTCTCGACACACCCCGCGACGCACACCGCGGCCCACCTGCGACCCACCCCGCGACCCAACCACGACCCACCCGCGACCAACCCTCGCTGCTTTGACAGAAACAGTCGGCGCCTGCGGCGAGCTCTTTGTGTAGTGTGTTAAGAATTTCGGCCCCTGCGACGGGCTTTGTCAGAGCCTCGCAAACTGCCTACGACCCCGCTGCCCCCTCACTCTTATCCGCAGTTGCTGGGTGCAACGTGAGTTGCCAAGTAGCCTCCAGAGACTCTGGGGCGCCATCAGCATCGCCCGAGATGGCCGAACAAGGCCCAAGTCGGCCAAGGATGTACCCAGTGGTCTCTGCGCCCGAATACTGCCCGAGATCGCCCCGAAGGTGGCCCCCAAATGCCTCAAGATGCCCCCAGACCCTCCGACATGGCCCAACAGAGCCCAATGGCGATCCCACATCAATTCCCAAGCGGGGCCGGCGGCCGAGGGCCTGGCCTGGCCCTTCAAGTGTACGATGGACGAGGACAACCGACTGGGCGAAAACGGGATCAGAGGGTAGGATAACGTAGAGCTGCGAAAACATAAACTTTCGTAGGGCCACGCGGACTTCTCGGATCGGCGCTTGCACCCCTCCCTGGCGCGCGGAGCGCGCCAGGGGCGGCGCTGGAGGCGCCGCCAGGGGGGCCCGAGCGCCGATCCACGAAATCCGCGCGGATCTCCACACATTCACATTCATGTGTATGCCGTGTCTTTTCCTCGAGAGGTAGAAGGAGAGAGGAGCGAACGCGATGGAGAAGGAAGCGGAGGACGGCGGGCGACGACGAGGCTCTGCCTCCACGACCGAGGCGCCCCCCCACATGCTGGCCATCCCCCCCTGGCACGCACAGGCCGAGCATGGACGTGAAGGCCAGCTTCGACAGGTCGCGCGCGAGCGACAGCGGCAGCAGCACCGCCACGGCGGTGAACCACCTGAGCCAAGTCCCTCCCCCTCCTCCTCCTCCTCCTCCTCCTCCTCCTCGTCCTCCTCGTCCTCGTCCTCCTCGTCCTCCTCGTCCTCGTCCTCCTCCTCCTACTCTACTCCGTCTCCGTCCCTGTCTCCGTCACCGTCTCTTCCTCCTCCTCCTCCGCCTCCTCGTCCATTCTTATTCCTTTTCAAGAACGTCTCCCTGAGGTTCCTCACCATTGATGACTCTGCAACTTAACAATTGGCAGCAATTTGACACATGGAGGGCGGGTCGTTTTCAAACTGTGGCTCTCGCCTTAGCGCGGCTCACATTCGTATTAAACATTGCAGAAGCTTCACGAGTTGAGGGCGGGTGGTTTTCAAAATGTGGCTGTCGCCGTAGCGCGGCGCACGTTCGTTTTTTATCTGCAAGGGTTCCACGTATTGGGGGCGGGTGGTTTTCAAGATGTGGCTCTCGCCTTGGCGCGGGGCACATTCGTTTGTCAACAAGTGCAGGAATTTCGCGGATTGAGGGCGGGTCGTTTTCAAACTGTGGCTCTCGCCTTTAGCGCGGCGCACATTCGTTTTAAACATTTGCATCGTTTCACGGATAGAAGGCGGCTCCTTTTCAAAATGTGGTTCTCGCTTTAGCGGCGCGCTCATTCGTTTACACAATTCGCAAGGATTTCACGATTTATCATCGTCAGCGTAGCAGAAATGGTGTTTTGAAAGGGTCCCGGATTACGCGGGCGCGGCAGTTACGTTGATTCGCTGTGTTGAAGGCTCAAGAATGGCATTCTAGCGCGAATGAGGATTGTCAGCGCGCAGTAGTCAGGTTGATCCGTGGCGTTGGAATCCCGAGAACAATGTTTTAGCATGCTTCAGGGTCTTCAAACGGTTGCCTTCCAACGAGGCAATTTCCGCAATGGGAATGAACCGTTGCAGGGGCCCATGAAGAGGGAGCTTGGACGGTGGGTTTATTCCAACATCGTTCATGACTCTTGGGTTTACATTGTTTCTCTTCCTCCTCCTGCTCCTCCTGCTGCTCTCTCCTGCCCCTCCGCCTGCCCCTCCCCCTCCCCCTCCCCCTCCTCCTCCTCCTCCTCCTCCTCCTCCTCCTTTCAGCCTTTACGCCATCAGATCCCACGGCGTGAGACCAGCAGCAGAGACGGGGGAAAGGGGGTGGGGGTCGGGGCCAAAACGCCCACATCACCTCTCTGCTGCGACCAAAGAAACGCTTCGTGCTGGGGCCGATGTCTCTCTTCAGAAGGCCGAGGAGATTCCGGCATCCCTGTTCTCGGGGTGTCGTCTGCGCTCCCTGCCGAGCCCTATGACCTCCGCTCCCCCCAGACCAACCGCACCAAACACGCCAACACATTCGAGAGCCGGCCTCCTCCTCGATCCCACCCCAGCGCTGGTGGCTGGTTTGGGTTTGACGGATTACTCGGGGCAGCCCTGTGCACGGGGTGAAAGCCAGGGCCGTGTACGCTCGCTCCCGAGAGAAACAAACGCGGCAGGAACACCTTTCCCACGGCGCCGGACCACGTGGAGCAATTGCCGAGCACACGCCCTGAGTACAGGGCAAGACAGGTGAGACGCTCGGCCTGCTGGATCTCTGACTTCTGGAAGACCTCGCTGTGCGGCACATTCGCTGCCGCCTCGCGCGCGAGGAAGTCGCGCGCCTGGTTGCCGCGCCAGGCCCACGCAGGGCAGCCTAGAGCGGCCGCCCTCAACCGAGACTTGTGGGCGGGTACCTTGAAGGGGACCGCTTGGCCTTCCCCAGATCCCTAGCCCTAGCCAGAACTTCTTTCCATCATTCTCTGAAAGGGATGTCTGTCACATTTTGGTGAAGACCTCGGGCCCAGACATCGCTCAACGACTGACAGTCTGCGCCAAGGTGGATTCCCCTGGGACCATGTTCCTCAAAATCATTAGGAACGCAAGAAAATGCAGCACCGTATATATATATATATATATATATGTATGTGTGTGTATGTGTATATATATGTATGTATATATACATATATATATATATATATATCTATAGGTGTATGTGTGTGTATATATATATATATATATATATATATATATTGAAATGGTCGTGGCGAGGGACCACGACCGCTAGCTAAAGTGCCCCCCTGCGTCGCTCGCCATGGCAATGGCCCAGCCGGCCCTGCTGTAAAGGCCGGGCCTTTGGTTCTAAAACCGTATGAACGCATCTTATCGTGGACAAAGCCTTCAGGGGGTGGGATGACGCGCTTACACCTGCGCAAAGTTTTGGGAACAGGGGGGGGGCCTCGAGGGAGCGGGGAGGGGACAGCGAGTGAGGAAGCGGTCGCCTGGCTCCCGCTGCCCCCGCTCTGGCACATCCCTCCGAACGAGCCAAATTTGGCCTGTGGAGTTTGGCCCAAGGCAACCGAACAGTCTATGGCTTCTATCTGCCCCAGGAAAACCACGCAACTGGCAAGCCCCAGTCAGAACACGTCGATCCTGAAAAAGCTCGTCCTGGGTAACCATTCCTCCTGAAGCGTGAGTGGCCAGAAATGAGGCTTCCAAATCTAGGAAAGAGCGTGCTCTACCGCTGCTGGCGGAAAACCGGGGGGGGGTCACTACCGGTTCGAACCCCTCCCCCCCCCCCCCTCCGGAAAACCGGGGGGGGGTCACTACCGGTTCGAACCCCTCCCCCCCCCAGTTCATCATGAAAAAGGGGGGGGGTCACTACCGGTTTGAACCACCCCCTCCCCCCTCGAAAACCGGGGGGGGTCACTACCAGTTCGAACCCGCCCCCCCCCCTCGAAAACCGAGTGGGGGTGCGGACAGTGGTGGGGACGGTGAGGGTGGGGACAGTGGTGAGGGGACAGCGGGACAGTGGTGGGGACAGTGGGACAGTGGTGTGGACGGTAGTGGTGGGGACAGTGGTGGGGACAATGGTGGGAACAGTGGGGACAGTGGACAGGTGGTGGGGACGGTGGTGGTGGAGACAGTGGAAATGAGGAGGAAGGTGGGACAGTGGACGGTACAATGGTGGTGGGGACAGTGGTGAAGGCGGTGGCGAGGACGGCGGTGGGACAATGGGACAGAGGTACAGTGGGGACAGTGGCGGGGACAGTGGGGACAGTGGTGGGAACAGTGGGACAGCTCAGTGGGACAGCGGAGGAGTCAGTGGGACAGTGGGGACAGTGGAGATGGTCGGGCAGTGGTTGGGGCCGTGGACACAGTGGGGAAACCGTGGTGGGAACGTACAGTGGTGGGGACAGTGGGGACAGTGCGACAGTGGTGGGGGCACTGGTGGGGACAGTAGGGACGGTGGTGGAACCAGTGGGGACAGTGGTGGTCAGGACAGTGGTGCTGGGAACAACAGTGGGGGATGTGATGCGGACGGTGGTAGGGGCCGGGAATTGTTTGCTGGCGGTGAATGGGGTGGGGTGGGGGAGGGGTTCGAACTGGTAGTGGCCCCCCTCCGGTTTTCGAGGGGGGGGGGGGGTTCGAACCGGTAGTGGCCCCCCCTGGTTTTCGAGGGGGGGGGTTCGAACCGGTAGTGGCCCCCCGCGGTTTTCGAAGGGGAGGGGGGGGGGTTGCTGGGGGAAGCGGGGGGGGGGGGGGGAGGGGTCCAGCAGGGTTCGGGGGGGGTTTTCGGAGGGGGGGGGGGGGGGGCGACCCCTGGGCTCCGGAGGAAAAGGTTGGCAATTTTCCACAGTAAAGCGGCGGCGGATCACGCTCTCTCAAATCTAGACCATGACCTCGGAAATCCTCGCACGCCCGGCTGGTGCCTGCAGAAGATCTGGTCACCAAATTCCCAGCTCAAGCTCTGGGCAAGCTGTTCCTTAATGGCTATCTCCGTCAAGGTCCGAAGGTTCACCGCCCTTAGTTTGTCTACGTCAGCGGGCATCTCAATGGGCATCCTCCATAAGATTGAGCTTGCTGGGGTCCGGCCAAGGCGCTGCAGGGTACAAGAAAGAACTCCAGTGGGGCCTCGCACATCGACCCCAGACAGATCCGCTTCATTCATATAACGCTGGCAGACATCAGACATCTGTTTTGGAGTGGCCCATCCCCCCCTATGGGCCTTGGCCCAGGACATGATAGGCTGACTGTTGGCAACGTACATGGGGTCAGCCTTCGGATTGACAGACAACATCAATTAAACAATTCTGGGGAGCCAGCGAGCCGGCCCAAAAAATGCCTTCCGCCACAAAGCAGCCTCAAGTCTGGAACCCTCGGGTCGCCATGCTTGTCGCGCCTATGCCGCAACTTCCAACAGGGAGCGCACCGGCAAGAGAGATCAATGTCAGTTTCTGGAACTGCGATTTCAAACCTCTGAACCGACCTGTCCGACTCTGAATCTTGGCGACCTTTGTATTCTAGCTGATCGGGCTCCTCCGACCGAGAAATCGACTCCCAAATTTCCGACCGCAGAAAATGACCGAAAGCCCCACTGCTTAAGGCCAACGCAAACTTCTTTGGCGAGAGCCGCGGTGCTAGCAACCGTCCGGCCCATCGTGCGCGAGATGACGAGCTGGGCTAGCCCCAGCTTCCCGAAGAGAGCCTGGGCGGCCTTGACGGCTGTCGACTTGGCGAAGGAGTAGGTAGCGACGACCTGGATCGTGATATCGTCGACGGCGTTGTATAGACGACTTAAGCTGAAATCCCCAGAGACCTCGTCCAGTTCTCTGATAATCATCACTGTCAATAGTGTAGCTGCATACCCGAAGCCCGCCAAAATAGTCGAGTGCACCACTGTCGGCCTCGAGACCCATAAACCTAACAACAACATTCTGGGGCAGCAGTGCATCGCCAGGCACAAGCGCAAATGAAACAAGGGAAACTCGAACGTGCATGCTCTGGAGACCAGCTGCCTGTGACGTACTTCCTCGCAAGCTTGATTTAGTGAGGTCGAGGACATCGTTGACGATAGCAAAACCATTTAGGCTAGCATGCTCTGCTGTGAACGCTTGCGCCCACACGGCTCGCTCGCACGATTTTCTGTTGGGTCCGTGCGTGTAGCTTCGCTGGCGATCGTTTCCCATGCTGCTGCGACGTATTTAGTACATCGGCTCCATATCCAAACAGTCATGCTGTGTAAGGCTATCGGGTCGCTGTCCGTCGTCGTCAAGTTTAGGTAGTGTTGGCTGCACTGTTCAGCTTGGGCAGGTAGAACACCACCCTGCAGCATCCAAACCCCGACCAAATTCAAAGCTTCTAGGCATTCGCCAGAACGAAGAAACACATCTCGATGACCTAATCTATCAATTCCATGAGCAGCCCAGGCGTTCATTTTCCGTGCGGCGCCTCGGATCCCGTCTGGTGAAACATGACGGACAGGGCACTGCTGGTTATCAAGCAAGCCGCGAAGCTCGTCAAACACTTTGTCTGGATCTTGCAGAGGCTTGGACTCGACACCATCGGAGCCCCCAAATCGACTCCCACTCAAGAAAAGGTTGATCACTACATTCTGCTGGCCCAGGAGGAGGCCGATCTTTTACGGGGGGCCAGGGGCGCCAACCAAGAGGATGCTGGGTGTATTGATGAAATGTACATCCTTTTGCCTGCACTGCCTACCGGACAAAATCCCTCCACTGTCGGGCGCGAGTGCTAGCAAACCTGGCTTCTAGCTTCTCGGCGTGGCCTCCAGCCGAATCATGCAAGTCCATGAGGGCACTCGAATCGCACCAAGGGGGACATCCTGGAGTAAGATACCACATTCCTTTCCACTTTTCGCTGGGCCTGTCGAGGGGGGGGGGGTGGCGATCAAGATCTTGGCGAACAAAACTGCATGTTTTTCGCAGGTAGGCCCTTGAGGCAAAACGTAAGAACACACAATGCAGCTCCTACGGTGTCCTTAACAAACTCCTGGGGGCGTGAATGGGCGAACTCCTGTTACAATTGCTCCACCGCCTCCAACCCCTGCTCACAAGACAGGCGACAGGGAAGGGGCCTGTGACAGGGGGAAGGACGGGGGCAATCTTTACTTTCCACCAGTGTCCTCGGCTTGTGTACCGAGATCGTTCAGCGTCAGGAATGCCGTAAGCAACAAGGAGCTCGTGCTCCACCAAATCCATGAATTGCCCAAAAGAAAAATCGAGGTCCTGCTGGGTACCCTGGTTCTCGAGTGCAGTGACAACCTGCGGCAATGCTCGAGGAGGTCTTGGAACGGGTCCTACTGGGCGTTCCTTGGGGAACTTCTTGGGGGCCGTGAGGGTGGTCATCATCTGCAATGTCGGTCTGCTTCTCATGACGAGCCGAACGGGATGAGGTTTGATATTGGATCCGAGCGGCACTTGGCACGACACAAGCGAAGGTGCAAGAGCCTCTGAAATCAGGAAACCGTCGCGCGTCCTCCATTCCCGCCTGCCACACGGGCAAGTACGTGCTTAAAGGAGCAATGATCCTAGCTCCGAGCCTGCTCGGCCAGCCAATACGTCCCAAGAGAGCTCGCTGGTGGGGCGTCCAGCCGCCACCAATCAAGAACGGTAAACCTGCAGAGTGAAGACGCCCTCCTAGGCGGATTATCAGCAGAGTCCCTTCTGGGCCGAAGGGGTCGGACGTCGGCACACACACACACACATATATATGTGTTGAAACCACCAAGGCTCTCCTGTAAGAAAAGCGCTGGCCCACTTTTGATCAAAGTTCGATGAGGAGACGGGAGTTGGGATAACTCGGGTGGACTACCCATGCCGATACACGCTGGAACTCCTATGGCAACTCCTCCCCAGGCCCCATGCATCAATTTCTCTGGATGGTGCCTCCGTCTCCGTCTCCGTCTCCTCTTCATCCTCCTCCTCCTCCTGCTGCTGCTCTTGCCTGCCCCTCCACCTGCCCCTCCCTCCCCCCCCTCCTCCTCCTCCTCCTCCTCCTCCTCCTCCTCCTCCTCCTCCTCCTCCTCTCCTTTTCCTTATAAACAGCTTCTCCCTGTTGCACTCCGAGGCCAGTTTTCAGGGCGGGCCAGGCGTTTCGCCTGAGACTTCCTCACCATTTATGACTCCGAAGCATAAGAAATGGCAGCGGTTTCGAAGATGGAGGGCGGGTGGTTTTCAAAATGTGGATCTCGCCTAAGCGCCGCGCACATTCGTTTCAACAACTTGCAAAGAGTTTCACGGATGGGGGGCGTGGTGTTTAAAATGTGGCTTTCGTCTGAACGCCGCGCACATTCGTTTCAAACAATTGCACATGTATTCACGGATGGATGGCGTGGTTTTCAAAATGTGACCTTCGCCTTAGCGCCGCGCACATTCGTTGTTAAATATTTGCGAGAGTTTTACGGATTGGGGGCGGGTGGTTTTCAACATGTGGCTCTCGCCGTAGCGCCGCGCACATTCGTTTCAACAACTTGCAAAGAGCTTCACGGATGGAGGGCGTGGCTTTCAAAATGTGGTTTTCGTCGTAACGCCGCGCGCATTCGTTTCAAACACTTGCAAAGAGTTTCACGGATGGAGGGCGTGGTTTTCAAAATGTGGCTTTCGTCTTAATGCCGCGCCTATTCGTTTCAAACAATTGCACAGATATTCACGGATGGAGGGCGTGGTTTTCAAACTGTGGCTTTCGTCTGAACGCCGCGCACATTCGCTTATAACAAATAGGAAGAGTTTCACGGATTGAGGGCGGGTCGTTTTCAAAGTGTGGCTCTTGCCTTAACGCCGCGCACATTCGTTTCAAAAAATTGCAAGAGCTTCACGGATTGAGGGCGGTTTCTTTTTCCGAATGTGGCTCTCGCCTTAGCGGCGCGCGCGGTCGTTTCAAAAGTGTGGAAGGGTGTCACGGACTCCCATGATCAGCGTACCAGAACTTGTGTTTTGGAAGGGTTCAGGATTATGCGGGTGCAGCAACTATGTTGAGTCGCGGTGTCGAAATCAAAAACGGCGTTCTGGCACGATTCCGGATCGTCAAGACGCAGCAATCCAAGTTGATCCGTGGCGTTGGAATCCCGGGAACACTGTTTTGGCATGCTGCAGGGTCTTCAAACGGTTGTCTTTCAACGAGGCAGTTCCCTCAATGGAAATGGACCGTTCTAGGTGCCTATGCACAGGGAGCTTGGAGGGAAAGTTAATTCCAACATCGGTGCTGACTCTTGGGTTTACAGTGGTCCTCCTCCTTCTCCTCCGTCGCTCTGCTCCGCGAAGGGGGCCAACTTCACCCTCGCGGGACCGACGGGGGCCCCGCTGTGTCCCGGTCCTCGACCCTTGCGCGAAGCTCCGCCACCTGCTCCCAGTCCAGACCGCACTGCTCGAGTAGGCTATCGACTACAGAACTGATCTACCCGGCGGTCGGAAGAAGTGAGTAGAGCCACGAAGTAGGATGGCGTTGGAAGCATATTGGGTTCCCTCCCGCCCGCCCTCTGAAAAGGACGGACAAGGTGAAGCCACTCGATCATTGACGTAGGAAGGCACCTGAAATAGATTGGGGCTTGGGCATCCAAAATATCTACTCCCAACGACTGGCGTGTACCTCAGAATTGATTTGATCGTCGGATATACGAGCATATGCAGAAGCTTCGTAGATCCGACAACAATTCTACGCATTCTCCGTAAATTCGACGAGCAAAAACAGTTTCGGGATAAATCTATTCTGTAGTCGATCCCCTACTCGAAGTGCGCTTAACCGCGCTGAACATCTGGGCACGGGAAGGCCTCCCTGGGGTCGTCGGAGGAGGCCCTCAACACTTGGGGCTTCAGGAGACGAGGCGGCCCCTGGCGTCAGACACAGCCTGCCCACCCAGCTTGGGATGCCAAGGGAGGGCCCGAGCCACAGCGCTTCGCGGATTCCCCAGACCTCCTGCAGTTTCCGAGCAGTCTTCATGAAGGTTGGAGTCGCAACCGATGAGGGATAAGACGAAGCCAGGACGAAGATGAAATCGGCTCAGGATGAATCGGGAACCTCTGAGATGCGGCGGCTCTGCAAGATGTCTCGGGCGCCAAGGCCTTCTCAACGCATTCTGGAACGCTCTGAGAGCGTTCCGGAACGCATTGGAACGGATTCAGCATCGTCCTAGCCCCGCCCGAAGAGCGCCTCTAGACAGCATGGAAGAACGGCGTGGGACGCCAGCTGACGCATAGAAGGCCACACGAGGCGGCCACTTGCCCATGCGAAAACCTGGGCACGCCAACCAACGCAAAGGAGCGGCCACGCAAAGACCACTGGGCGAGAGCACGGAAACGCAGGCGAATTCCATACATAGAACTAAGGCGCCCTAACGCAAGAACTGGTTGGGGAAGAACACGCAATCGAGCATAAGCAAACTGAGTGGATGAATGCAACGTCGCACACATACCTCCGCTAACAAGCCAAGCTGCTGGGGCGTCCACTGGCTGAATGCACGGTTCCTGGCAAGGAAGTGGTCCTGCCGGTGGAGGGGGGCTCGAGCATGGAGGCCGAGACTTCTACCAACTTCCCCCCCCTCCTCCTCGCAACCTCCTCATTCCTCATACTC